CTCCATACGTCGCTTTTTTTCTTCTATAGTAAGAGATTTGATACGTACCGCATCAATTTGTATGTCTTCCACCTCTGAATGCGAATTCACATCGCTTGTCGACATAGTTGGAGCATGGCGAATTGTATGTTGTCTTGAGCGTTGGTCTTGGCGACATTGGAATAGGCGATTATCGCACTTCACAGCTTGGCTAATGGCTTCATTGAGCGTTCGTGGATCAGGAAGAGTTAACAACAAATCCTTCACATCATCTCTTAAACTCCAATAGAATTGACTCATCAACGCTTCTTCATCCCAATTGATGTCGCATACTAATCGCCTGAAATCCGAAGCATAGACTGATGTAGAATGCATCCCTTGTCATAGCGACCGGATCTTTGTTGTAGCCCATCGAACCTTATCGTGTTCACCAAATGCTTCCGCAAATGCTTCCAAAAAGGTTTCGAAGTTGTTTAATATGAATGATCATTTTTCAAACAAAGGAGCAAACCATGATAGAGCTTGTCCCGTAAGTAAGGTTCCAACAAGCACAACACGTGACTCCTCCGTTGGATATCGTTCGGGCTGTAAAATTGTTATCAACCTGATTTGATTGACGAATCTTCAAAACTTGGAACGTGTTCCATCAAACTTATCTAGAAGGCTAACTCGAGGCTCTTTATGTTGTAGAACTAGTGGCTCTTGTCGAACCTGAGGCAAAGTTGTTTCTCCAAGTGCCGAAATTTGAGGCTGATGTAGTTTAGATTGTGCTATCCCACATACTCCATCATTATGAAGCCTTGCCACCACTTCTTCAATCTCTGCAGTTCTTTGTGATAACGTAGTGAGGGCATTCATAATAGCATCTAACTTAGACTCCAAACTTTCTGTCATATTAATGTCTTGACCTCCGGCCATTCTAAAAGAAGGACAAAAATGACCCTATAAGAGGTAATATTGGTTTATAGGAGGGTAATCCACAACTTATAAAATGCCTTAAGAATTTCAAGAAGAGGGGTAATCCACTCTCTCCAAGAAGAATAAGACTCCAATATTGTAACAGAAGAAGTATCAATTTAGAGGAGGGTAATCCGCAACCTCTAAAAAATGCTAGTATACCTTCGAGTAGAGGGGTAATCCACACTCTACTAAGAAAGAACTAGCTCTGATATCTCAAGTTAGTGTAGTCTCGACAAACTGTCACGGACACAAAATACAGACTTGAAATCTAACAAGAAGTTCAAGAAGAAGTGGCAGAACTAGATTAAACAGATGAGTACAGGAACAACACCAGAAAGGTGAGCTAGAACTCTAAGAGATGTGTTGTCGAGACTGAAGAACTCTTCAGCCTCGATCCCTATATATACTCCTACTTAGGAAGCTTCTCGAGCTACTTCTATTAACTAGGAAGCTTCTAGAAGGTTCCACACGCTTCCTTTCTAGAAGGTTCTAGAAACTTCTCGAGCTACTTCTATTAACTAGGAAGCTTCTAGAAAGTTCCAGGGGATTCTTTTCTAGAAGCTTCTAGAAACTTCTCTTCTAGAAGGTTCTAGAGACTTCCTTTCTAGAAGCTTCTAGAAACTTCTCTCTAAAAGGTTCCAGAGGCTTCTCTTCTAGAAGGTTCCAGAGGCTTGTTTTCTAGAAGGTTCTAGAAACTTCTCTCTAGAAAGTTCTAAGGAATATGTCCCTAACATCCATTGCATTTTCAAGGACACTTTATATAATACAAAATGTCTTCTTAATTCTTAGTCTTGTTTCAAAACTTTCTAGTCTTCTTAATTTTGGCAGTAACCATTCTAATTCAATATATTACTATCTTTGAATAATTTCCTAGTCTTTTCAAGTAATACAAGAAAATATTAAAATTTTCTTTTTTTAAAATTCATATCTTTGATATTTTTTTATCTAAGGATATTTCTTATTTTTTAAAAAATTCTTTATATATAAAACAAGCTTAAGCTCTTGAATCTAACAAGGCTAAGACTTTGTGATTTTTGATCCTAAAAAAACTTCTATGATAAAATAAGGTCAAAGATCTAAGACATTTATTAGCTATTGTATAAGATTTCAATTTCATGATTGCTATTATAGTTGGAAAAACTTATTTTTTGATACATCATCTTCTTCGGCAACAATGCTTCTCATTTTGTGATTACATTACTTCTTTGGACAATTGTTGAGTAGTGTATTTAGGTTCTCTACAATATAAGCATAAATCTTCTTGATGGTATTGAGTCTTTTCTTGCTTAGTAAGATATTTGAAACATACCATGTTTATTTGCATAGGTTCTGGCCTTGATAAATAAGCTTCTATAAACTTATATACTATTGCCATGATTTGACATATACCTCTCTGACCAAATCTTTATTCTTGACGTCTTTCAAAGAATCAATTATTGTATATAATGGCTTGAACATTAAATTGCTCTAATGAGTTTATTTTTAGCATTATCAATTATAAGTCTTTGATATTATCTTTTAATTCATATCAAAATTAATTAATAAAGGCTTTGTCATTTAAATCCATGTCATAAGTAAGGTTTTGGAATTTAGCAACATATATGGTGGCTAAATGTAAAGATAATAATTTAGTCTCTACTACCTTTTCTCAATAACTTTCTCCAAAAGTGATTGTAAACACCTCTAAGAATAAATTGAAATTACAAAAGAGATGTGAATTTTTTTCTACCAAAAATATAAATCAAGGAAGAATACTCTCAATGAAAAGTACACCTATGAATTAAACTTGAGTAAATCTATTAGAATATTAGAAAAGATACAACTTTAGATAGAACTTTACTTATTGTAGAAATCATCAAAACTTTGATTTTGTTCTATCAACTTTTTTGAGTATACTTATCCGTACCTCCTACATACTTAAAATAGTAAGATTTCTTGAATTTAGTTGTAAACTTATCATGAATATACATATTTATTCTAATAATTATCTATATGATTAGATAAAAATAGATAAAAGTAGATTAATTTCATAATATCTTCTAAAATAGATGCTAGTTTGACTTTACATATGTTTGTAGTTAATTGGTAGGTTAGAAACTTGGTCATTAAATTAGCCATATATTATACATATTAATAACTTATGGAACAAGTTAATTATGTGGTCTACATATAAATAACTTATCTTGGAAGCTAAAATATGTATTAAATAAAATCAATATATATTAAAGGTCTTATAGTATATTATCAAATAGATCCTAATTAGAGAGTATATATGGAGGCAAGAATGAAGCCTTCTTTACTCTTGCTAATGCCTTTCTAGTCCTTAGTCTTGTTTTAAGACTTTCTGGTTTTTTTTTCTTTTAAGCCATTCTAATTCAATATATTACCATCTTTGAGTCATAACTTAGTCTTTTTTAGTGACATAAGATTGTATTGAGATTTTCTTTCTTTGAAATTCATGTCTTTGACAAAACTTGATTTACTTACTTCTTTCAAGAATACAACTTCCTGGCATAGACTTTAAACTTTATTATTGAACACTTCTATAGGTCTAAAAATACTTCTTCTTTGGTTGACGTTAAAAATATATGAGATTTTTATTCTAAGAGTGTTGATAAGATTATAAAGATCTATAGTAGTTACAAATCTATTCTCACTTTTGTTAAGAATAGCTTCTATAATTTTTCCTTCTATAGATAGCTCAAAAAAATCTATAAATCAAATTAAAGTAGAGTAATTTGTAACTTCTAATTTCAAATAAAAATTTCTATAAAAAAGAATAATTTATTCTCTTTAAGAAAAAAATTAGTGTTAGAAAATTAAAATTTAATTTAAAAGTGAATAATCTTCAACTTTCAAAATAAAATAATAGAACTAAGATAATTCATTCACTTCTAAAACAAAATAAAAACAATGAAGTGGCATTCTTGTCAAATTATCAAAGACATGAATTTCAAATAAATAAAAATTCAATATAATTTTGTGTTACTTAAAAATAATAGATATTCATTCAAAATTAATATAATATTGAAATTAAAATATCTATTGCCAAAGACAAAAAGACTGAAAAATCTTGAAATAAGACTAGGAACTATAAAGGCATTGACAATAGTAAAAGAAGGCTTTACTCTTGTTTCTATATACACTATTTAACTATGAATTATGTGACAATATTCTATAGGACCTTTAACACATGTCTTAACTTGTAAGGCAAGTTTTTTATATGTGCTACACATAATTAATTTATACTATAAGCTACTAACACATGCAACACGTGGCTAGTTTGTTGGCCAAATTTCTAACCTACCAATCAACTACAAATATGTGTAAAGTCAAAGTTGCATCTATAAAGCTTCCACAAAGCTTTTCTATAAGATATTATCAAATTTATTTATATTGATCTATTTCTACTTAATCATATTATCTAACTAATTATTGAAGTAACTATATATGTCTGTGACAATTACTCAATAATTTTCTTTATAGAGATTTTAATCTTACTTTTTAATTTTTTAATATCTATGTCTCTTTTTTTCTATAAAATATTATAAAAAATAAATAAAATCATAATTTTATATTATCTATAAATTTATTTCTAAGCTATTTAATATTATATATTTTTAAAATTTTAAATAAAAGATATATAAAATTGATATGAAAAATATACAACAATTCTAAATTATACTTTATTTATAGATTTTATATTATATTTGATAAATTATCTTTGATAGATTTGATATTTTATTTATAATATAATTTTAATTTCTTTGTATATTATATGAAATTTTTAGTCATCTTTTAATAAATTATGTATCTAGAATTTGAAAGTTACTATGTATCTAAAAAATTATGTATCTAGAATTTGAAAATTTATATGATGTTTTTATAATCCATTGATAGGACAATTAACAAAGTTTATTAGCTCCTTTATTAAGTATAATAGATATGTAATACTTTACAATTTTGTGTTAATGATAAGTGATGGAAATAAATTGTGTTGGACACTCGGGAAAGAGAGAGAGAGAGAGAGAGAGAGAGTGTGTGATCCAATGCAGTCTCTATTTGTCACAAAAGGCTACTGTGCATCCTTAGTGGTGAAGTCACAGCAAATTTGAAGTTAATTAGAGAGAGAGTGCTACAATTTGAAGTTGTTAAATACAGATGTTCTGTTGTCAGGCAGACTGAACACGATGGGACGATCAGGTTACAAGGGAAAATTTATGAAAAACATGTTATTGGAATAAAGAAAGGAGTCACGGCTATTTCAAAGAGCTTCGCTGATGGAGACAAAATGTAATCCTTTTCACCACATTGGTTTCAAAGTATAGCATGGGCAGCTGAAAGCTTCTCATCTACGTTTCTGCTCTAGATTCACGGAAAAATTCCACTCACTCGGTAGCAGGTTGCAATTCTCTCAATAGCAATCAAGTATGCAGCCGTTCGGTAATTACAATTCTGCATTTGATAAATGGAAATATATCAGAACATGATAAGCAAGCCTAGATATGTTGGTCTGTAAGCACAAACTTGAAGCAATGCACATGAGAAACAACAATGGAAAGAGCACACATCCTACCCTCCCTTGAGAAGTTCGTTTCACGTTTTCCCAACTCAACAACATCGTCTCCTCCAAGCCAGACCAGACAAAATCAACCTCTGTGTTCCTGTGGTGGACCAAAGAAATTTGTTCATCAGCTTTTAAACCATGCAAAGTTCGAAGTAAAGAAGAACGTTAATTACAATTCTCATCTGCAGCGACTTCGTCACAAAAATATTGTAGCCATCGAATGTGAGAAGCACTCTTACCCCTTAACAACTTGGCTTCGGACTTCATCGGAGAACCTGTGTCCATTTCCGAACTGATTCTCCAGAGCATCAATAAGAGCTGTCTTTCCTCTTTCTTCCATCCGTCGACTCATGCGTCCAAAATGAATGTGGTTCAAGTTTTTCAGCCATTCGAAGTATGAGACCGTCACCCCTCCCTGTGTATATCGGTTCCGTTCTTTAGGTTCATGACATTGAGATCGAAAGAATCATGAACCATTCTTTCGAAATAAGGCAATACTACACAAGGTTGTCTCCCACGAAAAGAATATAAACGATAAAACCCTGTACACGTTCTTCACGATCATGGATTACAAGTTCACTTCTGTAACCAGTAGGAGTTCAGTAAATTAGGAGCAAAGCGCTTACAGCATTGAGCAACAAATCAGGTAAGATGACAACGTCGTTATCTTCCAACATCGTCTCTGCCAAGGGAGTCACTGGTCCATTTGCAGCCTCTGCCACTATCTTTGCCTGAAAGTTTAAACGGAAAAAGCCGTTTTTTGTAATTAGAAGTAACCTGGGGCATGTATGTCCCTGCTACTGTTCCTCAAACTACCAACCAGACAAAACCGGAGACTGAGAAGTCCCTAAAATCAGGTGCTGAAGAAAAAACCTTTATATTTCCGGCATTCCCAGAGTGAATCTGGGTTTCTAATGCAGCAGGTATAAGCACATCACAGGGAAGCTCCAGGATGCCTTGGGCAAATTTTACCTGCATAAACGAAAAGAGAAAATGAGATGGTTCTACCTTGATTTGGTGCAACAATTACTGAGGGCGGTTGCAAGACTATCTCACTAGAAAACTGCATTAACTTAAGTCGTTTTTTTTTTTTTTTTTTTTTTTTGAGATACAATTCAAAGACGTACTGTCTTGGCACCAGGATACCCAGTGATCGTGCCCTTTTTTTTGTAATAGGCTTTCAAGCCAGGAATATCTATCCCATCCTCACACTCGGCCACCAGACCTCCATCCACCTCAGCGATGGCAATAATTTTTCCACCGGCACCATATATGCTCTAGAAGACGAGTAAACTGAGTCAGCCATAGAAAAACTTCCAATAATTTGATGCTTAAACTATACCACTCTTCTTCTATGTCTCAGCTCATTCTTTTCTCCATGAATTAATGCAGATAAGCATACAACGTCCGGGTGTGAATAATTTCAGTGATTTAGAACTTACATCAATTGTATGGCGACCCACATTCCCGAAACCCTGCACTATGAAAGTCTTCCCTTTAATGCCAGTCGTCAAGCCCAACTTAGCCACGAGAGCCTGCAAATATTGAAGGGCAGAAGATCAGACAACCAAGTTGCAAATTCAATCAATCCACACTGCTGGTGCAATGGTGATCTTCTTCAGGTCTTGTCAAACTAGTGCAGTGTGTTGGATCAATGTGATCCGAATCTGGCTCAGAGTAACGGCAGAAGAAACATTAGGGTTCCTGCGGATCACCTCATCGTTGAGAAATTCCCTCAAACAGAAGTAGACGCCTAGTCCTGTTGCTTCTTGCCTTCCATCAATACCTCCCTCCTCCAAAGGTTTTCCCGTCACGCATGCGGAACCATTGATATCGTTTGGTTGAAGATGTTCAAAAGTATCCTTGATCCATGCCATTTCCTGTGGACCCGTTCCATAATCAGGAGCCGGTACATCCTGGACACCAAGAACGGAAATACAAGTGTTAGTCTTGCAAAATTGCAGCTTCCTTACAAGGAAACAAAAGAAGACCACCGAGGTCTACTCAAGGTCCAACGGTACCATTTAGAAAGTACTTGAAGCAACAAGTCCACCTCCGTATTCTATTTTAACGAGGATATCAAACCCATTTACATATTGTTGACTGTCAAAAACTCACAATGGAAGGGCCAATGAAGTTCTTCCTCACTAACTCGCTAGTGTATCGTCTTATGATTGCTTCTTTCTCGTTCGCAGAATACTTCGTAGGGTCTGCAAAATATATGCAGCCGATACATTCGTAATGCAGAAATCGCTTTCACAGAAGACAGGTTAATTTTAAAAGAAATCGTGTGGAAACAAAGCCCTACGAATTTCAAGTACAGTGCATGAAGTTATGAGGTATTAGAGTTACAACTTCCGTGACGGCTCACCTATTTTGATTCCACCTTTTGCTCCTCCAAAAGGCACATCAACCACAGCACATTTGAATGTCATAAGAGCTGCTAGGGCCATTGTCTCATCAGCATCTACGTTCGGGGCCATGCGGATCCCTCCTTTCACTGCAAGATCCCACGGGTGTCTTATCTATCAGGATGGTGGGCTCCCGGGAAAGATACGCCCAAAATTCAAAAACATTAATTTGCAAGCTTTAAACGAATTGCGTTGTCGGCTACACCAAAGGAAGTATAAGGTCAGAGTAAAATCCAACCGGGCAGACGATGGTGTGAGTGCTGCGCACGATAAGCTTCAATAAGCTCCACAGTACCATTGGCACACTTGAGGGGAAATTGCACTTTAAGAATGTTGTTGCAAGCCTGTTCAAACAATCAAAGCTATGACAATGAGAAACGATGAAACTTATTGCACCAGATGTTCAATGAAATTTGATGCCATGGAATGCGATGGCAGATTGAAAGCTAGCTTGCACCTTGATTTGGGCAAGAATGTCAGGAGTGGTCGCGGCAATCGCTGCAGCTTTGTCGAAATAAATATCTACAGACTCCAGAAACGTTGGATCACCTGCACAAAAGGCAAGTTGTAGAAATGCGTGAATGAGTCCCGACTTTACCATTTGCACCAGTTGTATCAGTCATCCGCCCGCTTGCTGCACAACAGACTCGGAGCACGCGGGGAGCTCGTTAGTAACCGCCGCAGGTATCAAAACCTCAAAAGCTTAAGTGGCGTGAACAATGATTGAGATCACGCCTGGTGGGGATCAAACTCGCTGCTACAGAACTCAACTCCCTGTGTTGAACTCGGACAAAAACGAAACATATTAAGATAAATTGAAAGGTGCAAGTCCAGTACCATGTGCGACTACGTTGCCATGTCCAACGGGTAACGTGACGGACTTTGAGACGGTCGTGGTGGTGACCGACGAGACAGCGGCAGTCGAGAACTGGGCTCTGGCATCAACAACTGCGCACAATCGTGCAAATGGCCTCGCTGAGTAAGAGCTTCCGCTCATCATACGCATTACCATTGCCATTCCCCTCTGAAATCGCTTCAAAAGTTCGCTTGCCTATTGAATGCCCCAATCACCAAAGTACAAGTCAGATCAATCTTTTCGAGGAATACAACAAATCCATTCTTTCTTTCCCCTGTAACTCCACCACAACAATCCTACATCGTTTTGCATCTGATCAGCATTCGAATCGACAGAATGAGCAAAAGAAGGTGGATTAAATTTCGTAATTCGAACATCAAATGTTTCTTTTAAAGTTTCTTTTAACATCCTCTGCCATCGCAACGAAGAGAAGTCTTTCTCGATCAACACGATCCCCAATCGCTAACAACATCCAAACCTTGCGTTTCAGTGCAGATCCACACAAATATCTACGTGCTGTTTTGCGACAATGGACCCAAACACCTCAGCTACCAAGATCACACGAGTCATTCCTTCTATTATAACCACTGATAAGACAACTAAAAAAAAATCCCGTCCTTTCTCATGAAGATAAATCACGCACAGCAATCAAGAATTCCAATCCAAATTTCAAAGGCAAAGCACTCAACTTCACCCTCGTCTGCAGCAGAGAAGCCACCACACATACCTCACAATCGGACGAACAAAGCCAACCAGCGTGAATACAGCCAAGATGAACAGCTGACAACAACGACAAGAACATCCAGTAACACTCAGTGCCTCAAAAGATTTGTGGGCGCTGCCGGTGCGTGGAGCGACTGAGGTTTCGAGAGAGATGGCTGAAATGGTTGAGAATGTGGGTAACGATCGAATGGATCAAGAATAAGTAGAGGCGGAGAGGGGGACGAGAGGTGGGGGCAGCGGCAGAATCTGAATTGGAACTGGAGCGGAATATGAGTAAAAAGTCTGCAGCGAGCGAGGGACATGATAAACATCTGGTTTGAATACAGAATCTAAACCGGGTGCGATACTGTTACAACGATTGCATGGCGAGTGAGTCACGAGCGATGCGCAATTGGGGACGAGTCAGAACATTAAGCGGAAACGAATCATGAGGAAAATTGGGGAAAGATATGCAGCCCAGCGGTGTAGGCAGAGGATGAGGAGGAGAAGGAAGAGGTGAGAGCGCAGCGAGACTCAAGAGGGAAGGGCCCCATTTTCTGATATGGACAAGCCCATGATATCTTCATTACTCAAACGAATTCCAGACATGATCATTGCTCCTTTTCCTCCGCACTTTTCCATGTGACTACCCCCCCCCCCCCCCTACTGCTTTGAGTTCACTCCAACATCCCCCACACTTTTTGCCCTTTTCTTCTTTGAGGACAATGTACATCTCATTCTTTCGTCGCCAATCGGTCACAACTCAGTCCTCCTTTTCCTAACGAAGACTCTCCTTCAGTTGTAGGTTTGATTGGTTAAAAAAACAAGTCATGAGTAAAACTCGACTAATATCTTCTGTTTGGGGCCTTGATGTCAGCCGCTTCGGCCTCTGAATCTTTCTGACGTCGATTGCAGGATTCTCAACCCTCTCTGAAGGAAAGCCCTCGAAAGTTTAAGACTTTGGAATGCAAAAATTGTTTTCCAAGCTCTTAGCCGATCTTCAACTTCCAATCAACTTCCTGGATTGAACACTCACGAAGTTCAAGGAACTCGTAAGCTGAGCAATGACAGTGTTGGTAAACCACCGAGGTCACTACTTACCGGAGATTGCACGTTGAGCTTTCCCCATCATCCATTTCCGTGCAACCTCTGGATTTAACCTGATGACAATAACCGCAGCGTGGTTCCACGTCTTTTCAGTGAGTAGCAATCTGAAACATGGGTGTTGATGAGAATTTCTGAATGCTTGGAAAAGAAGGGACACAACTGGTAAAAGAAAATACTGAGAATAAACAATGTTTCCTGCATGCACTCATCGCTGTAGCTGTGTTGTCCTACCGTGTCCTTCCCCTGACCTTTGAATGAATAAGAATTTCCCGGCGACTGGTTCATCGTAGATTCTGCAGCAGGATTTGAACCTCTCACATAGGTTTCAATATTCACGGCTTTATGAGGTTTGGTCTTTTCTCATCATGGTGGTCGGCTTCAACAACTTGAAGTCTTCCAAACCAGCTCGCTCTTCATGCTTCCAGTGGATTCTAGATTTGCCATGAACCCAATTATTACTGCTTCATCCAAACAAGATTCACACAAGACCCTTCGTCACGCGTGCGTCATCACACAATGCATCTTCACAGCCCTAGTCCCATGTACATGTGTATATATATATATATATATGAATGAAAATGAAGTAGTTGAGGCATCACATGAATCAAACTTAGAAGAGACAAAGAAAATTCTTTAATTTATCTTTAATATCTGGAAGAATGAAAAAGCATTTACAGTTTATCCTTCATGGTTTTACCCGCTGTAGCTTTTTCGCCACTACAATTTGCATTTATCTTTTTAACCTCAACTTCTCTGCACTTGTGTGTGTAAGCAATTACATGTATGTATGTATGTATGTATGTATGTATGTATATATATGTTTTTCTCTAAATCCTTAATTGTAGAACTAAGGCTTCGGTGGAAACACATACTCAAGATTGCAGCTCAGCCCAGCTCAACCCAAGGCAGAAATGCCACACTACGGCGCAGGCTGGGTGGAGTAGAGGCGAGGGCGATGGTCCAAGGAGCTGCAACCAAGGCCACCACCACCACCACCATGAGCACCACTACCACTACAAACTGTGGCGCCTGCAGCAAGATGTTCACTGCTGCTGATACCCCACCGTTCCCCGCCCGAGATGTTCATGTCCATCCGACCTTGCCTTCCCTGAGAGCTTTTCCATTGCCCCGGGTGGGTGGGTGCCAGGGTTTTGCGACCCCATCCCAACAGAATCGATTCGTGCTTGCGAGACTGCCCTGCCAGCTTGCTTGCTTGTTACCATTACCAAGAGCGCAGCAGTGACGGAGTCCACACACACACACACGCAGTGTTCCTTCCAACACACCATACTATACAATGGCATTCAGATCCCATGTAGATTCTGGTTTCTCCTCTGATGTTCTGTGTGCCAAGGCTTTCATTACAACTCAGTTTGCATTGGATACGTTGCAAGTTGTCTTGCTCACCTGGATTCCGTTTTGACAAATGGCTCTAACTGAATAAAATTTTAGTGAACTAGTGTGTTACTCGTAAGAAAGAATAACTTCTCCCAGGATATTACTGTTTTTTCTTGTAATAAAGTGATATAAATTGTACCCAATGCAATGGTGTAGGGTGCTGTGAGACAAAAGGTTATGGGCTCGAAGATTTGAAACTGCGCATGACTGAGAGTTTTGTTAATTGTTTAGGTTAGCTTGCATTAAAAGAGCGAGTAGAGAGAGTTTAGAGTTTTTCAAATAAGTTTACTGCCTATTTCAGCCATCATAGCAATTTTCTTTATTTTTTTGATTTTTTTAAGTACTTCTTTTCTTCTTACTCTTCTATTTTCTTTGTCAAATAGATCTTTTCTATCTTGGTTACCATGTCTATTGAAAATAATTTAGTAGGTAGTCAACATTTTGATAGTACAAAGTTTCATCTCTGGAAATGGCAAATTAGAAATTTGTTTTGTGCTATAGGATACATTCAACATATTGATAGCATTGCTAAATACAATTTGGATGACAAAGACTAGAGAGAATGTGATTATAATGCATATATATTATTTAATTCTTCAATAGAAAAAATTTTAAAAAAAAATTGAATTTTAAAAAATGGTTCTATTAATTAATTACATCATTGCATAAGAGGTTTGAGATTGCATTTAAGAAGAACATCAATACAAGAATAGTAAAAATATTCATGAGTTATAGTACTACTTTTTCAATGATGAGTTAAAAAGCAATCAATCTATGTTTAGCTTCATTGCTCAACTTGAATTCATCATGAGTAAACTATAAGACCTTAGTGATACATCCTTTTTAGATGCCTTCATGACATCTAAGCTTATAGCCATCTTACTTATGAACTTTGATGGTTTTATCATTGTAAATCCATAAGAATTCAAAGATTATAAAAATGAAGTATAAAAAATAATGTAATAATTGTGGTCTTCTTAGTTATTGGTGATAAGAATGCTCCATACATTTCAAGAGCCTATATATTGGCTACTTGTTCTATATTTTGGACCTTATACTCAAGCATCCTTTGCTAAGTCATTGGATTTAAATTATTCTTTTTTATCATCAAAGTTTTCATATTTCAATATAAAATATTCTTCTTCTTCTTCTTCTTCTTCTTCTTATCATTATCACAATATTCATCCAAACTAGTTCATTTATCATGAATAAAATCTAAGCAATTCAATTTTTTCTACCAATATTACCAATGCTTATAGAATATTTTCTTCAAGAGGAATTATAAATGGCTGGATTGTTGATAGTGAGGCCATCAAATACATAACATATAAGCTCTAATAATTTATTAACTATAAATCATTACCACTTGATGCTATTTGGGTTATCAAAATCCATGCTAGTTATAAGTACTATATAACCAATAGAAGTGATATCAAAAAATTTGTTTAGCCATTTAATCATAAAAAAGTTTATTTTTTTAGCAAGTTTTTTATATTCCTAATTTTGGCTAAAATCTCTTAAATCTCACTAAGGTTGTAAGACAATACAAGATTTTTACTCTTTATAAAGAGCATATTTGTGAACTTTTTATTTTATAAATAGATAGTATATGTAAATTTTATAGCAAATATTTTAGTAATTATCTACATGTAGAAGAAATCAAACATGAACTAATTGTATCATATATTTTAGAATAAAATGCTATCTTAGAGAGACATAATTGAACTATTATAGAAGTTATCAAAAGTTTAATCTATCATATTCACCTAGATCATGTATTTTAGATAGAAACTATTAATATCTATTTATATGTTGAATTTAATATCTTTTTATTATTATGTAGTAATATAGTAATAATTAAAAGAAGTAAAAAAAATATTATAAAAGATTCTAATTAAAAAGATAAAATAAAAATATATAAATAAAAGATAAGAAGGTAATAAAATCTTATAGTATTAGAATTAATTTTTATGAAAATAGATTCTACTTACTTTATATTTCCATAAATAAGAAAAAATAAGATAGATTAAAAAAATAAAACATATAAATATATATAAGAGGGAGATAGAAGTTGATATTAATAAAAATTATCTCAAAAAAATAAGAATTGATACCCTCAGAAGACTAGTTTCAAACTAAGGCACAAAATCAAGCACCAATGTTTTTTTGGGATTCTTTGATAAATTAAAGAATGGAATTTGAGAGCAAACAAAGTTAGATTTCTTTGAGCATTAATTTTGAGGGATTTTAATTAGTAATGACTTTCTAAGAGCTTTGCAAAGTCAAGGTTGTTTTGGATGTCTCTAATTTTTGTGAAATAATATAGGGTTGGCATTTAGGATGATTTTGTAAGTTTTTTAATAGATCTATAGATGAAAGTTTGTAAATTTGTGAATTAAGAATTCATTAGGATTTTATCTAAGATTTAGGATTTTTTTAGAATTGGTTTAGGGCTTCATCAGGATTTGATTAGAATTTGGTTTAGATTTCATTAGAATTTGGTCTAAGATTTTGTTAGGATTTATTTAGGATTATATTAGAATTTGGTTAGAATTTAGTTAGAATTAGTATAAGATTTTATTAAAATTTGTTGAAGATTATATTAAAATTTGATTAAATTTAAATAGTATTTTTATTTTTAATATTTTTTAAAGATTTTTTTATTATATATATTTCTTTAAGATTAATTTATATTTTTTTTCATATTTCTTTTATTCGTCTTTAAAACTCTTTTGAAATTTAATTAAAGATTGATTAATATTATTAAAATATAATTAGAATTTATTTAGGATTCTATTAGAATTATTAGAATCTTCTTATTGCAAGTTCTATTTTATCTTCCATAGTAAAGTGCCTAATACAAATCTAAGCAAACTTCACAAAATACGATACCATCTTTTTTCAAATATTACTCCTTTCAAAGCTTATATTAGTAAGAAACCATATCTTATTCATATGTGGTCATTTGATTGTAAGGTTTTTATTTATATTCTTGATAATTTTTTTAAGAAACTTAAGCTAAAGAATCAAATTGGATTATTTCTTAGATATTCTA